TCAGTAATAGGCAAGGTGATCAGTCTTCTGTGCCTGACACGGCGTCGACATTTTGGGTATAAGGTATGCCGATTTCCTCACGATGTTTTTCTTCAAAGTACGTACGAGTGATAAATTCGCACATAGAAAGTCTATGTGCACAGCCGGTTAATCTACGACCTTAGTGGTGAGAGCCGCAGGCTGAACGCCACTAGACCAACACTGCTTGTTGTGTGGAAACCGAGATATACTTTCCTTCACCATACTTTGATCGCGCACTTTAAAATGTATAGGATTACAGGCAATCTACGACTTACGTCGTTTCAAGTTACGTCGAAAAAAGTTTTGACACTATTCCTCAAGCATACGTCATTTGTTTCGATTTCCGGCATAGGAGAATTCACTTGTCTTGTGCTAATTTAGAGAACGCCATGAACATTTTTGAAGAAAATGATCCTAATTTTGAGAGAAGTTTTAACGTTAATAATAAAATTTGTGCAGCCTATCAGCGTTACCAAGATCTCTATTATAGCAAGAAGAAAGAAGCGAAGCAATCTAGAATTGATAGTTTCTTTTAGCCAAAAGTTTAATTTATTATATTTCATTACATATTTTGATTGCATATTAAAGTTTTATAACTATTACTAAAATTAATAACACACAAGTGCCGTAAGTACGAGCACTGCCTGTCCAGCCAAGATCTTAGAACGTTCAACGTTCATAGATTCTTTGCGCGTTCCCAATGATTTTATATCGGTAGTAAATAACAAATATCTTAATGTACGTATATGGTAAAGCCCATTTAATCTTTAAAACTAAACTAAACACGCGACGAATTCTCTAATACCCAGTTTTATAGGAAAACCGCAAAGTGCTGCTACAAATTAAGTCTATTAATTTTAGAATCCTTAAAGGTTGATACGATACCTCGCCACCACTTTTACTATGTTTAAAGTATATGTTGCCGAAGCCGCGTACAAGTTATTTGAAAAGGTCTATTAACTGTGAGGGTGTGCAATTATTTAATCAATAAAAATAAATCAGTGGCGCTGCAACCTCTTTAGGTCTTGGTCACAGATTTCTGAATCTGTTTCATGATCATTTTTAAATCTAATAGGCAAGTAGGTGATCAGGCTCCAGTGCCTGACACACGCCGCCGACATTTTGGGTCTAAGACATGTCGGTTTCCTCACGATGTTTTCCTTCACCGTCCGAGCAAATGTTAAATGCGCACATAAAAAGAAAGACCATTGGTGCACAGCCAGGGATGGAACCTACGACCTCAGGGTGAGGGTCGCACGCTGAAGCCACTAGGTCAACACTGCTCTTTAATTAATTACCGTCTAAATTTCGAATCGTGTTAAATCAATTTAAAAGGGCATTAAAGATACACATCAGAAGGAGCCTAGTAGTAGTCTAAAATTATGATTAAAATAAATAATTACTGTCTGACGGCGACGTGCCTCTAGTTCGTATTATAATATTAGGTTTCTCATTTCTCATTTCCTAAAATATTTTTTTATTTATTTATTTATAATACATAAAAATTATAAAGGGTGCAACGCGTAGCCTTATCGCTAACAAGCTATTTCTTCCAGGCAACCCTAGTAAGGAAAGAAACTAAAAAAGAAATGGAACAAGAAGCGTATAACCAAATCTTATAAAAAACCAACCTTAATCTAAGATAATACAAAAAAAAAGTAAAAGCTGCCCACTGAAGTATTTCCGAACCATTTCGACTTGGGTCCTTCAAGAAAACAGCGTACCAAACGTACATATAAAAAAATGTAAAAAAATCAGGTTACACAAGTTATAAGGCAACGGGCGGCCTTATCGCTAACAAAAGATTTCTTCCAGGCAACCCTAATGTAAAGTACAAGAAGTGCATACAGAATTAACAAATAAAAACTCAAAATAACACGTAACTATAACTAAAATAAAATAAAATCAAAAGAAAAATAAAAATATGTATAAACAAAAGATTTAAATGCCAACAAAATACCTTCCGAATGGCCTAAGGGGTTCCTCCATCTCCTAACGAGCCTTAGCCTAAAGATTGAAAAATCTCCAACTACACAACCGGATTCCTTCATCCCCTAACAAACATCGGTAATCTAGAAGCACGCTGGAGTTCCACCCCTTCGTTGTTGACATCCCCAGGTGCCGCACGATGGATCGTCGTTTCTTGGAGGCAAGAAGTTCCACTCCTTACCCCCTTCCAGCTTCTCTAATTTAATATAGGTTAATTTAAACCCACACACACGTACATACCCTCTCCCTCTATCACACACACACACACACACACACACACACACACACACATACACACACACACTCACACACACGCACCCTCAGTTGACTGTTTTGTTTTGTGCTTATTTAACACGTTAAATGTGTTCGTCTACCCATATATATACGTATGTATGTACTTTTTGTTACCACTCAATATGATTTGCTGTGGAATGGAAGCCTGGTTATCCATATCACAGGTTCTTACCTAGTTTGAAAACCAGTCTCCAATACCTTCTCAACTGTAATCTTTTTTGTTGCAAATGTTATATGGAAGAAAATAAATTATTATTATTATTATTTAAATAGGCATCTCCTGGCGTCCAATAGGCCATATTAACACCAGGGGGTGGTGTCTGTATAAAAAAGGACAAAATCATTTAAATTAGTGTCAGTGCGAGTTAGTCTTAACAGCTGAATAGTGGTAAGCTTTGTACTACATAGTTATGAACATAACAACTTAATAATACCAATCAAGCGAAATATCAAATAACTAAACTTACAATATTAATATTTTAAACATATACTTACTAAACAATAGAATGTCTACTTGTTTAGATAAAATCATTAACACTAAAGCCATAGCATATTACAGTGGTTCTGTATAACTTTAGTTTTCCAACATATTAAGTGAATAAATAGTACACAAGAACAGAGTGATTTACCCTTTATAGAGACTGAAAGTGTTATTGGACACTTTCTCTTCAAATATTTATCAGTAAATTAGGTTTTGTGCAATCAATTTAACATATTTTCTGTTGACGTTCATAAGTGTACTTGTTTATTTTTTATTTATTTTTATTTTATAGTAACGTTCTATGATGTCTTAGCGAAGAGATATATACACTTTTATTAAACAGTTAACGGCTATTGAATAACTAATGAATGACTTGTTGAATTAAGCCGGCAACGCACTTGCAAGCTTTCGGACAATGTGTGTTCATGGGAGGCGGTTTTACTGAACATCGGGTGAGCGTCCTGCCCATTTGCCCATGAAACTTGTCTTTTTTATTCTCGCCTAATAAACGCGACCATTGTTTAAATAAGGCTTAGAGCTATATTGTTTACACCGTTCTCGGATCCACTTCACTGCTAAATTTCATCAAAATCGATTCATCCTTTTAGAAAGAGTTTATTTACAGAGAGATTTATATATATATAAAGATTGTTAAAGAGTATTACTAGTCTGAAAATAGTGTGTTGTTAACTACATTATGTACATAAAAGCCGATACTGGGTGTCTTGACTTCTCTGTATAAAATTTCATCAAAGAATTTTTAACTGTTTAAGCATATTTTTAAAGAAGTATTAGTGATAATATAACATATTAGTATGTCAACCTCAGGTAGGACACAATGTTTACAACTGGTCTTCCTTGTTTGGATTTTAGGGAGTTAGATCATAGTTACGCAATGAAAGAGACGGAGGGTCAGCATATAAAGTCTAATTTTTATTAATTTATTTGTACAAGTGTTATTATTATTTGTTCATAATAAAATATCAAAATTCAATCAATCTATTGCCGTAAATACCATAGTATATATATCCTTTATGTTTACATATGTATGGCATGTTTTACGCCTACAATATTTGATTATGTTGCGAGATACACGGGAAAGAGGCTATGGATGACGGATTATCGGACAATATTCTTTAGATATTTTCTGGCAATTTTATTTTAAACGCTATATTTGTGAGTATATATGACAACTTTCACAACCGTATACAGGTCACAGAAAAAACAAAAGAATAACAGTAAATAATTTATTAAACCATATTTTCAAAGTAGATCAAGGCCAGTTTTTTTGCGTTCAGTACTTAGATAATACTAGGACCCTACATAAATTTGATTATATGCTTTTTCGTCATTGCCGAACGATCGAAGCCGTTTGAAAGAGATGCACTAATTGAGTGAGAGAGAGACGGAAGAGGTGGCGTCGCGCATGCGTAGGCACGTGTCCACGAAATGCTACGGTTGTAGGTGAGGCCGGCTTGTAGAGATATATCTGAAGATATGCTACGAGTTGCTAGTTGCGGTGTTTTGTACATATAACTGAATTGAGGAACTTGTACGATGAAACCTTGTGAGTTCGAGTTTTGGATATGTGTTCTTCTTCAATGATAAATATACAAGATACATATGATATGAAACTGTGCCTAGTGATAAGATTTATAGTTCTACAAAAGCTATTATGAAATCCCAACAAATAAGAATGTGTCACTTCTTCAACAACATTGCATATTTAACATTTCTATTTAAATTCTAAATATTCATTAGCACAATAGATATGATTATTTTACAATTTTGAGGTTATGCGCATCAGTAAATGTTTTAAATAAGCCGTGCGCACAACACCTGCAAAATATCGCGAGATCAATACCCGGAAGTGTTGTACGTGTGTAGAAGGCTGCGCGTCGTAGCGCTACGGCTCGTAGGCCTCACAGTGGCTAAGAGCGAGCGGCCGCCGCGTCCGCGGTCTCGATCCCAAATATAGGACACTGTGTCAATGTGTCCCTAGAACAAAACAAACGCGCTCACAGCGCTCATGTGACACTTAGTGCCTCAAGAAACAAACACTGCCAATATCAAGCCACGCACAAAATTATCAAAAATAAGGCTATTGACCCCTGACCTAGTTACGTTGCAACTGCGCGCACTGCAGCCGCCAAGGACGTGATAACTGTGTTCATTAGTTTATCTGTGTAATTTAGTATCTAAAAGACTGAATGCGATGGCGGGGAATAACTTAGAGGGGCAACTGACGCATGTGATACAGCACCATGTCACCCAGCCGAGCGCCGACGCTCAGGTCAGCGTGCACCAGGTCCAGACGCCTTCGGGTAGCGGGAAACGGCATCAGATCATTATTGACATCAAACAGGACATTGATATGGACGAGATGTCCACACGCTCGTTGGCCGAGAGCGTCATGGAGACGCTGGGGGCGCGATCGGCGGCGGTTTACATCGACAATTCCCACGTACAAGGAGAGACTGATATGGAATCCTTGACGACGGTGAACGTGATCGTGGCGAACGATTTGAGTCAGACGTTGAGTCCTAAGCGTGATGCAGAGGAGGAGAGTCAGCCACCGGAGAGTTCGGGAGTTTTGCCCGGGAATAGGATAGCTGTGGATAGGATAGTAGAGATGACGGCTACATCTAACGAGAATGCGTCAACCAGCATGTCTATAACCACGGCCTCCACAACTACTACGTCAGGTAAATCGCATCGATCCATTATTTTTAGATTAATGGCGACAAGAAGTGTTGGTTATGTGAGTCAAACTTAAATTTGTAAAACATATTTGACAAGCAGACTAACGCTAATGCTAGAAATACTTTTAGTTGCTGTATATAAGAATAGATAGCATCATATTGTCTTTATTTATTTATTTATTTAGTTATTAAGCCCACGACAGCACACACAGTACCAAAATTACCAATTATTTTACAAAATCACACATCTAAAATGTGTGCCAATTAATGTAAGCATAAGTTTCACAAAAAAATTAAATAGAAATTAATATTTAAAAAATACAATTAAAACATATACGATAGTAAAAGTCACAATAAAATAAAATAAAATTACAGAAGTTTGTTGCCACTTAGAGCAGAAAAAAAAAAGAAAAATCATCATCAAAACAGCGAAATCAGGTTCGAGAAAGGCACCCCACAATGCTTTCTCTAAAACCGATCAGCCCACTACCGAATATATCCAGCTCTGGATAAGCTGAGTTCAATTTGTTAAAATCGCGAAGAATTCGATCGAGAGGTGCCTGAACTCCTAGGTTGGTTTTGGCAGAATTAATTTGGAAGATAGTCTTTTATGTATGTGGAATGAAACACAATTTCATTTTTTATCAATAATAACACAGATTTACTTTATTAAAGTAACAAAATGGAAGCTGTTATTTCTGTCCCTCCTACTTGTACTTCAAGTTAGTTTGGATAAAATGTTCAATGAAGAATAAAGCTCAAAATTAATATTAAACCAATATCTCTTAATGTTTCGTAGATAGTTATCTAGTTAAAAAGTTAAATAAATAAATCAGTGTCTCTACAACCTGGCGTAGTGTGTTTCTGAGTTTTCAGACTTTGTTTCATGGTCATTTGTCAATCTAAAGAAAGAAAGGAAAAACTTAATTTTACCCAATATACAGGATATTTAGATAAAGTAAACTGTACTGGCCCTCACACTAGGATTCCCTGTGATGTGGACAGCAAGTCTCTTCCTTTTAACATCTAATAGGCAAGTAAGTGCTCAGCCACCTCTGGCTGATATACGCCGTCAACTTTTTGGGTCTAACGGTTTCGGCAAACCGGTTTTCTCACGATGTTTTCCTGCACGAGCGAATGTTAAATGCGTATAGACAGGAAGTCCATTGGTGAAAGGGTATCGAACCTACGAACTCAGGAAAGAGAGTCGCACGGTGATGCCACTACGCTAACATTGCTCTTAGTTATCTAGATAAGGATTACCGATAGGATTAAATATTAGCGACCTAACAACGTCATTTAAGCCCATATCACAAAGGCAGACATTTTTCTAGATGCGATCACCAAACCTTTCACGCTCAAGTATTAATTTGTACAATTAGTTTGTTAAATGTTTATTTTATTTGTTTCCTTTATAAAGATATTAGGCTGTCTTAATTTAAGAAATAAAGATAAACTTTTCTATGGATGCAACTAATATTTCATTATCTCTATATATATAAAATTCGTGTCACAATGTTCGTTCCCATACTCCTTCGAAACGGTTCGACCGATTCTAATGATTTTTGTAATGTATGTTCAGTATGTTTGAGAATCGGCTACTATCTATCTTTCAGACCCTATAGTGATAAGGGGTGTCCCTCCAAAAATAATTTTTATTAATTTTTAGAGATTTTTTTTTATTTTTTTATTATACAACCATGAATTGAAGCCCTTAATTTTCACTCCTTTACGATTAACCCCTATTTTTTTATTATAGCAGATAGTTATTTTTATTGAACTAAAACAATGTTTCTTAGAAATAATATACATGGCGTTTGTCGGGTCAGCTAGTTTTCTTATAATAAATGACTGCGCGTAAAAATCCGCCAAAAATAAAAACCAATACAAATCCGGCACGCCTCACTGTTATAATAAGTCACAAATATCTATTACTAATTTAACTGACTAAACCTTGATATGAAAACCTATGAGAATAATTTAAGTTATTGAACTTAATAAATGTTTAGTAGAGATAACGTTTTTCAATATTACATAAGTATACATTTTTGAAGTGAAACTTCTTTATCGGCGTTGGAAAAAAATTTACGTCACGTGACGTCGTCACATTTATCCGTTACGCGCCATCTTTTTCTTGTCCTGCGATTTCGGATCCAGTTTATTGATTAGTTGCAAGATTTGTTGTTTGTGAAGTTTGCCTACCTCTGAAAACTAACTTCAGGCTTACCGCAACATACTGTTATTTATATTGGATAATTTTTTTCACGTTGTATTTAATTAATATTGCATTATTATGTTATGTTATAAATAGAAATTATGCTTTTAAATCATTATTATTTATGTCAAAAACCGTGTAGTTCGTTCATAAAATGTATAAAATTTATATTAAAAACAAAAATATAAAATAGCAATAACAATGATAGTAATAATTATATTACAATTAATGAAATTTTGTTATAATCTTAGTAGTAATAAGGTAGAATGAAATAATTGTATTATTTGTATTCTATTTATTTAAACTTTATCTAAGTTAACTTTATTTAACCAATTTCTGTAAAGTTGCATATAGTAGATCATTTTTCGTAAAATAAGGTCATAAAGAAGTTTCACTTCTTACGTGTGTGCACTAACTAGTACACGAATACATTTTTTTTAATTTAAATATAACTGGGGGCAAACAGGCAGAAGGCTCATCTGATGAGAAGCGATACCGCCTATAGCCACTCATATTGCCACAGGTACAGTGGTACAGTGTACAGTGCGTTGCCGGCCTTTTAAAAATTGGTACGCTCTTTTTTCTTTTCTTTCCCCGGCTATACCAATGGACTTTCTGTCTATGTGCGCATTTAACATTAATTCGAACGTTGAAGGCAAACATCGTGAGGAAACCGGCTTGCCTTAGACCCAAAAAATCGACGATGTGTGTCAGGCCCAGGAGGCTGATCACCTACTTGCCTATTAGATCGACAAATAATCGTGCATCAGATACAGAAATCAGAAGCCCAGACCGAAAAAGATTGTAGCGCCACTGATTTACTTTTCGCTCGTTTCTTGAAGGACCCTAAGTCGAATTAAGTTAGATTAAAATTCACATTACGCATGATTTTTTTATTAATTGCCCGTTTTTAATCTAAAAAAACAGTCATAATAACGACTTGTAGACTTACCTCTATTGCTGGCAAAGTGTTTTTATGGATATATTAAATCGCTACAACCTTTGAACCGATGTAAGTAAATATAAGGGTAACAAAATAATATTTAAAATAAATTTCCTAGGTAGGTTTCAGGTAGGTCTAACGGGATAAGTCAGTAAAAATAGCTAACCTAGTTTAGCCTGGAATAATGAATCGATACTTTTGTTCAAGTTGTATCTATACAGTAGTTGCGTAACGCGTATAGCCTGAAGGTTGAGAGGGTTTGATTACCGGTAAAACATTAAACAGGTCGCGCAGTAACCGATCACCAACTTGCATATTAAACGAATAAACACAGAAATGTATCTGGTCAAAAATCTTTAGATATGTTATATTTTTTTTAATTATAAAGATAACATTTGTTATATATACCGTCTATATATATATAGACAATATAGACGATATATAGAGAATATAGAATTAACTGGCAAGTCGGTGGTGGTAATCAAATCCAGGCTTCCGAGTAATAGTTAATACTTACCTTACTTAATCGATAAACGAATGATAATTGTCTATGGTATTTATTCGCTCAGTGCGGTATTCCAAAACTGTAGTATGAAATTGACATTTCGGCACTGCCGAACTGCGTCAGTACCTACCCCTGGCTAATTTAAGACGGAGAAACCTCAAAAAATGCGGGCCTAAGTTTCTCGCAATTATAACTTTATTGAAAATTCTGGTTAACGATATATAAATCAGCGGCTACAGAATATTTTATAAAGTATATTACTATTTTTTCGATTATTTTAACAGCGTATCATAATTTTTTGATATTTGATCATTGAAAACATACTACTTAATAAGTTTTATCAGTTAACTGGCGCCATCTGTTGGCGAGAAGGTAAAAATATAAATGTTCTCTTGGAACATCAACTTGAACCTACTAAATGGATGTAGCCTAGATGTATGGTTGCATTAAACCTTCTTAATATTAAATTGGATTTATTATCTTTATCAGCTGCTTTTTAACTAAAAATATACGGTGATGAATTATAATATCTTCTTTTACGTGTCTGCGTAGATATTCTATACATCATTGTTTAAAGTGTTCCCCATTATCGTATATTAATGAATACTTATGATTACGTTATTGTATAATATTTGTCATTACCGATAAACACAAATTACTGATAGGTAAAGTACACTTATCATTGACCCATATAGAAAGCACTACAAAACTAAAAATAATCTTCAATTAGCGCCATCTGTTATGCAGTAGCAATAACATTTTAAATTTACCGTTTCGGACCGCTAGTGACACAGTTTTAGGTCAGCTGATGCGATGCCGCGTACTTTTATGTGTGTTTGGATCCGGGATGCTGCAGTTAGGGCTTATAAACCTGTTTTTAGCACTTACATTTGATTCGTGGTGTATGCACCAATGTACTAAAGTTGCAAGAAAATATATTTTATAATATCAGAGTTTAGTTATGGGTGTATCAGAGAAGATATTGAAGCAATTTTATTGTTTGAATAGACCTTGTATTCTTTAAAGTTCACATATAATAATGAATATTAAATGTTGAAAGACTTGTGTAGGTATACCATGTGCGACGGCCAAGTGAAATTAACTTTCTACAGAATTAACTTTTTGGCATTTCGTGTCCTCCATATATATAATTTAATGACATAATTAAAATGTAATTCTATCCAAATACAATTTTTTAAGATAGCAATAAAACATGATATACATCTTCAATTTTATGACAGTTGTATTTTTATTGTAATGTACGATATGTTTTTATTATTTTTCAGGTAAGTGATGCATATTCCAGTTTATGTTTTATTTCAGGTAAGTTCTATTTAAACAATTTAAAACCTTGGCAACAGGCACCGTTTCCTTGGCAACATGTTGAAATATCCAATTTCTTTTATTGCAG